GTAAATTTAATTTAGATATAAGTATTTTATAAAATAAAAATTGTTTTGAATAAATAAAATATATAATAAAATATTTTGAATAAATAAATAAAAGTTGATTTTTTAAATTTATTTTTGTTGCAAGAATATTTATATCTGTCGTCATGATTTAATTACTTTTTGTTAATTTGAGAAAAAAAATGTTTCGAATAAAATTGGAATAAAAAAATTTCTAAGATTCCATATTGTTGTAGCTGATGTCAAAACAAATGATGTTCAAATGATTCTTAATAAATGATTAAATCAAGGAAAGCAGAATTATTTCATTTCAAAATGGTTATCTTTAAAATGGAAAACATTAACATATTCGTACACAAGACAAAAAATAAAACAAATTGTTCAATGGCGTCGTATCTCTGTAATTATATCAAATTCGAACTATAAATCCATTTTCTTATTGTAAACAGAGTTCGATGAAGTAAGCTTGTTGCTGTTATAATATTAATCTAATATTAATCCCAAATGATCTTCAACGACTATATCAACAAAACGGATGCTCATCTTACAACACCTTTCCAATATAAAATAAAATTTAGAGAACATTATGGTTAGGCATTCTTAGATTTATTTTTTGATCACTATGAATTGAATTGGTTAGATTTTTTTTTTATAATGTTATTTATAATCGAAAAACAACGAATTGTTACTCAGACAAAAAACTTTATTTATAAAAAAACGAATTATATATTTATTATTCAAGATATAAAGATAGATTGAACAAATTGTTTTATTTTTTTATTCTATTTATTATGCATGAATCCCATGTTATTAAGATAATTATTTTGAATAATTATTTCATTAAATGAAATGCTCGACTTGGTCGATATTTTTTCATTCAAGGTTACTTAAAGGTCATGGTACAATACATTCGTCCTGGCATTAATTTACACACTATTAAAAAAATAGTATAATATTTTTATGAATGAATTAATGTGAAATACAATTAATTATTTTTTTATGGAATAATCAGATGAAATACAAAATTGAACATACAATTATAATAACTTGAATACATAATTCTAAAAATATTAAGGAATATATTTTTTAATTTAAAAAAAAATTTTAATCATTGCTAGATATTATTACGGTATTAGTGTTGCTTTTTTCTCGAAAGAACAAATCAAACGATAAGCGAGATATAATAACAATAATAGTTTTATTTAAAAATGTTAGATGCAATAATCATGAGACGTAAAAACTACTCGACAAAAAATTAGATACTTTAGCAATTTAGAAGAATGCACAATCAGATTAGTTTTTATCTTATTTACTCGCAATTACTCGTATAATTAAAAAAAATGCAATATCACATTATTATATCACTTTATCTCGCACCATTATCTTTTTTATATATACATTGAGAAATATTTTTCAAAACGCAACTTCCTTCAAACTCGCTATGTAACGCGATACGTATATGGTATTATATCCATCCATTTTATTATATACAAAAAATTTCTTTCTTCTCCTTCACGTTAACGTCAATTGCTCGCTCATTGCTCAATATTTCCCAAAGTTACAAACAAATTGCTCTCGATTTGTTCTCGTCATCGCGCGAATGACGAAACATCGATAACAAATTGTTGCAAATATCCCCGATACGAATTCTTTTAAACAACGAGCAACAATGACTCGCTCAAATACGTACATTTCTAGCGGGGCTTGATCCCATCCGTGTTATCTAAATGTCTCAACGAAACATTTCCACAAAAACGAGACGCGATAAGATAAAAAGCGTCAAAGTAATATCAAGAATTTCTGCAATGCAAACACTCGGATAGAGAAAGATCGCGATCGAATTGCGTGACAGAAAACACGATATACGTGAACAGAACGTGCCCATACCTTATTCTACAAGAAGTACCAATTCTTATCGAGCAAAAAAAAAAAAAAAAAAAGAACAATTTTGAACATTATATAACAACTCATTATTTACAAAATATTATATTTCGATATAATATTATCTCGATCAATTATGAAATTAATTAATTATATATATATATATATATATCTTTGATAAAACAAATTTTAAATTTCACTTTATATAAATCTTCTTTACAAAGACATTATCAAAAAGAAAAATATTTATCCATTATGATCAATTCTTTTATAGTTTCTAAAAAAAAATTCAGCTTTCGAAGAAATTAAATTAAAAAAATTCCTTGCGTAATTTTTTTTTTTTTTTTTTTTTTCAGGAAAAATAAATCGAGTCGGAACGGAGATAGATCGAGTTAAAAATAAAATGGCAACGGACCTATTGAATGACGAGGAAATTTTTCCTTTTTCCGCAAAGAAGAATGAATGACAGATCGATGAACGCGTTAAAAATAAAATGGCATTGGGGCTTCTCTCGGACATTATTTAGTAGGCATTAAATCGTTAAAGTTTCTTTTTTTTTTTTTTCTTTCTTTCTTTCTTTCCTTTTCCCCGTACAGAATAAAAGATAAATGGATAAAGGAATTAAAAATAAAACGACCTTAGAAACGACAAAAGAATTTACATCGAAGACACGAAGAATGGAATCGAATTCTAAACCTAGTGGTCTCGAGCAATTGCGAATAATACGTACAACGAAACAGCGTTATCTTATCGCTGCAGACGGATCGAGAAATGTATTTATACTTGCGGCAAACAGATAGGCCGGCGAGATGATAGGAGATAAGGAAGAAGAAATCGGAGTCGCGCAGATTTTTTTACACCTCTTTGGTTCAACAATTGTCAACTCGATAACGTTGCATATATTTAATAATCTTTCACCGTGGTTTAACGCGGTTGATTCACGTTATTTAAGAAGGCTTAAACAGAAGGCTTCTCGTCCGATAACGATCACGCGAATCGGCCATTTGGAATCTCATGAATTCGTTCGAATTCGAGATTCGAATTTGATGATGCTCTCGTTCAGGAGAAGGAAGAAGAAAAAAAAAAAAAAAAAA